CGAAGAATGAGCGAAAATTGAATGGCTCGCGAGTAACAAGCATCGCTTACTGGAGCCTCGCCTCTAGATTCTAGTGATCCGACACGTTAGAGCGAGAATAAGGGCTTTCCATACTCACATCAAGCGTGGAACTTGGACTCCCAGTGGGAGTACTGCATGGTAAGAAAAGCTGTATCAGTCTCCCGATACAATCAGAGCCATGCATAACAGTCGTGAATACCATAGCATCAGTAAACAGTTGAGATGTTTTTCGTGAGCGACCAATAGATGTGAGCCACTCGACTCGAGTGACTCAACCGGATGCCTGAGTTCACTGTTGGTAAGGGTCTCCATTCGTTGTCTATCGGAGCTTTAACCACGCCGAAACCATCCCATCATTTCCTACAAGAAATGATGCGCTTAGGTAAGTAGCTTCTACTAGGTACATGCCACTGTCTTTCCGACAGTTGACTGATAGTATGAGAGTTGATACGACCTCCATAGAGAGCAGGGTATATCCGCAAGTAGCCTCAGCATACAGAGTTCACCAGACTGTCCGACAGTCTACGAGACTACGAGACTGTGGTACTCCTAACTTAGGGCGCCTTTATGTGTTTACTCAAGTAGTGGAGCAACATGCTGGGATGACTTGAGGCTACTCAAGGTATACTTAAGGCGTTACTCAAGTTTAAGACCCAATATCTACTCTCGGCTACTTGAGCTATATTTAAGGCACAATACTAATTCCTATGAAAGAGGCCCGTTAATGACATCACATGCGGCACACGCTCCGAAACGAACGCCACCTACGACAAAGTAAAATCCCACGAATACTGGTATGCGGGAGGAAAACCTAAACATGAAACCCGAACACGAGCTTTGTGACTCTGTGGCGAGTTAGTTTCGGTTTTTCATGTCATAGCGCCAGTGAATTTTAGACCGCTGCAGATCTACGCATTGAGGTATTTCAAGATAGCAAGGCTTCAAGAGTCGCCGTTTTCTCATTCTCTACTGACTCTAGTCGGCCAAACCCGCAGGAGAATGACTTCCGTCGATACTGATACGTAAGCGAGGGTGGTCCTTAGTAGAGGAATGCCTCGTGCGTTTCGATTGAGTATACTTTCCGCTCTATTGGTGATCCCCTTAGGCCTGTCATACGCTGTACGTCGAAGCACTCTGCCAATTTCTATATCCGAGCCGTCCAGAACTTCCTCAATGGCATGCCGGTACACATCGACTGAACGCTATACACACTTAGTTACCACATTTCGCATATCAGCGTCATTTTGATATCCATTGACGAATTTAATTTTTACCATTTTTTCAGCGCTTGCAAAATTGAAAATACCCTTTTTCGTCTATCGACAGGATTGCATTCCTAGTCTACTACTACTACTATGAACAACATGTATAGTATCGTCGACTGCTGTTTTGGGTGTATATCGTGGTTGCCTTAGTTTTCGTATCAGGCCAAGGGTGAGCTAAGCGCCAAGGCACCAGTAGATCACCTAGAAGTGACCGGTCTGGCGGCGGCTATCACTCATGCAGTGGCTGCTGCTACTGCAACAGAGTCAGCAGGGATTGGGAAGATAGTCAAAATTAGGACTGACATCGTTATGGTCAGACCTGACTACCCTGGGGGACAAGTTGGCGAGGAACATGGTAGATGGGGGATTCGAACTTGTGCCTGTTGAAGGGAAGGAGCTTCAACCAAGCATTACGCTCTATATATGATATATGATATATGATAGCCGATATATGATTAGACCCACTGTGGAGAATAATTTTGTTATTTTCGTTTTGTCTTGGAGCGTTTCAGTACACTCCGCATATTTCCACTTTCGCTTCGAATAGTCGATACATAGAATTGCCGTCGACATAGATTAATGATCTTCCAGAGTGTCTTTCCGGTATCAGCCTTCGCGTTGCTAGCTAGGCTGTTCCGTACTCGCGCGAGACAGATTTTAGTTTGATTCTCGCTTCTAGTATGATTATCGTTGCTGTATGCCATTTTTGGAGGCATTTGACAGTGTGAACCACCAAACCGTTATGTAAAGTAGTATTTTCGATGACAAACTGAGCTCGAAAGTCAACTTTGATAACAACGTGAATCGATTGACACCAACGTTTTAGAAGCGTTACGTAGTCTATAGTCGTACTAGTCTCAAATTGAAGAACTCAGCCGTCTCGAAAATCTACATATGCATACATACTATCTGGTCCGCATTGTATGTACGAATTAAACGCTCTTGGATTTTTTCGCTCTTCATATTTGTCGTGGATTAGAGGCGTCTCGGATTTTCCGACGTGAAAATGCGTCATCAAGTATGTTTGCTCGTTCTCGTAGGCCGCGTTTATTTGGATCATTTTAGCCGAAATACGGTACGTATATGGTTTTCTTTAGGGGTGCCGAGTATTAGTATTATCATCGATCGCATAGTTGACAGTAAAGAAGGAATGAATAAGAGTGGAGCTGAGCAGGCCATCGAGAAGAGCGATTGACTCTCATGCTGGCGATCCAGGTTCGATCCTCGTGTAGGACTTTCTGAACAAGTTTTTTACTGTGCTCGGGCGCAGATGTCTACTTTTCTTACAAACCTTATATGACTTTGACCGAGCAGAACTCGTGTTGGGTTCCTGCGAACTCTGTGACCTGTCCTAGGTTCGAACCCGGGATCTCTAGAACTTGGGGTAATAATCGTCCATGTGAAGGGGTTGAGTCGTAGTGTTCAGCTCGGATATAACGCGCACATTCACTTTGGTACGTTTTTGTCGGAATATATCGCTCATAATCGTTCATGTATTCGTGTGTTGAGATGTTCCGACTGAATAGGAGTCGAACTTCTAGACAGAGTCACCAGGTTTTATCCACGATCAGCAGTAGCCGTAGTAGGAGCAGCGACAGAAGGAGTATAAGTGGATAGTGCGATGCGGAGTCACCGAGTATCAGAGGCGATGGGCAGCGACTAGACGCGACCAGGGTGAAGTCAGGCTGAGGAGGGAGTGTCGTCGAGGGTTCGATCGCTGTCTAGAAAAGTAGTCGTAGCGTAGTTGGTTGTGAAGTACGGTGTTGTTGGTGATGATGAGCAAGGACCAGCTATAGGGGATGTTCGGGGACGGTAGTATTCATCTTCATCGTGATTGCAGGAATATGGAGGACGGCTTGGGTAGGGCGGGAATAGTATAGTAGGTTCAAACTGGGAGCAAATGCGACTTGGACCTATTTTGTATCTTTACCGCAGCGACCTTGGATATTTATGATTTTATGGTGGAAGTAGGCATTCTTATGAGTTATGGAATAATCGTTATTTGTTTTGTTTGGGGGAGAGAAAACTCGAGATCGATGTTCAAATTTGTACCACGGAGGTTCTTTTCTATGAGCCTCTGTGCAGGTCGGTCCGTCGAAGTTTATAAATTTTCTCATCACTTCCGTATCTCGGGTGGTGTAGGAAAGTGTACACATGGTCAACTACATGTGTTGGTGATAATATGAAAATTCTAGGGAATTTTGGGAAGTTCTTATTAGTTTCTGTACACTTCTACCCGAATTCGCATGTAAACTTCTATAGGGAACTATACTTCACATCACAGTGAATGTCGTGAGTTCTTGCCACAGTGTACGTCGGCGCATGTTCAGTGGTAGAAATCTCCATGAAAACTGAACGTGCTAGTGAGAAAAAAGTGTACGATACAAAGTTATCGTATGGTAAAAGGTTAATAAGTGTTAAGTAGGTATTGAGGGTGTAAAGCTGACTCAAGAGTCTTGAGCTTAGCTGAGGAGAGCGAACATATATTGTAATATTGATTTCAGCACTCCTCTGTCCCTGTTTTTATTTTTGCAATGGCGAGTAGCAGGAGCCGTAGTAGAAGCAGTAGCAGTCGTGGACGTCGATCAGAAGTCTCTAGGAGTCGTTCGAGATCTGAGTCCGTTCCTGCCGAGCGAAGGAAATCGGATTCAAGAGATCGCAAATCAGCGGAGGGAAACGATTCTCCTCAACGTAATCGATCCGTATCGAGATCAAGAAGTCGCCGTGATAACAACGATAGAAAGAGTCGCGCTAGATCGCAATCTAGCAGTGACGTAAGCGATGTTGATAGAACTAAACCTAAGGCGAGGAACGACGCCGGCGGTACTCGGAAGGGCGATAGGGTCATTGAGGAGGCAGTGGAGGATGCTGTGAAGGAGCAACGTATTGTAGAAGCGGGAGATTTCCTGGAGGACTCTTTAACCATGCGATTGCTGAATTCAGTGTTGAATCGATCGGGCAGGAGGTTCCTAGAAGATGTGCTTTATGAGGCGGTTGACTCGATTAATAGGGATGTGAGATCGCGTGAGGAGGTGAGAATTCCTCAGAAGTATGTTGGCATTCGAGTGAAGAGGGTGGTCCAGAGGAAAGAGGACGATATGGCGTATAGACGCCGAGGAAGAGAGCGTGAGAATCGATCTCGGCGAAGGGATTCGAGATCGCTTTCCAGATCGAGAAGTCCCTATCATCGAATCTCGGTTTCTGACATGTGCGATAAATATAGGCTTGATGCGGAATGTGAGGACAGGTTGAGGGAGCTGAGACAGGATCAGCTGTCTCGCGTATTCGGACCGGATCTCCTCATACGAAACGACTGCCGCAACCCTAGTTCGATCGTGATGAGTCGTATTCGTGACGAAGTCCGTGGGAGATCATGGAGAAGACCTAAAAGGTTTAGAGAACGTCGGCCTAGAAGCTATAGTCGTGATCGTTGGCACCCGAGTTCGAGCCGGTCTTCGTCGTCGTCTTTGTCGAGGTCGTATAGCCGATCATCGCCGAGGAAGGAGTCTAAGTCACGTATGAGAGAAGGCAGCAGTAGTAGTAGGAGTAGAGACTAAAACGAGAGGTATCGAAGATCATAGTAGTTTTCTAGCGTAGGATCAGGATTGTTGTGTTCATCGTTGACCTCACTTTGAATTGGCACAAACATATATGCAGCGTTTTCCTGCTTAGGAAAAGCGTAGCTTCTCCGGGGTTGAAACCGTGCCAGGGAGTTGTCTTTCGGCGAAGCCTGGTTTGGGACAGCGATTGACACAATCGCTGTGGGCACAAGGGGATAACCTGAGTCCTTCAAGCTGCCAAGCTATTCACACAAGCCAGACTGTCTTGACAACCTGGAGTAGTATATGTGTTAAGCGTGATATTTTTTTAACCGAGGTCTCCGATGTAGGTCCTAGGGTAACTCCAGCTAGCAAGCCTCCGTGGCTTACGACAGAAGCTTAATATTCTGAGTGTCCTTAGTGTACCTTGCGTGTCATCCTCCGCAGTGCCCAGGTGGCACACGTGAGTCTACACGCGCCCTGCCACAACTCGGAGGCTAGAGCTTTCATTTTAGGGAAATTGAGAGTTCCAGTATCTTCATGGTGAGTAATATGAAAGACCAAAACTTTTTCTTCGCTCTACCGAAGTCAGTTGAAGTCACACAGTATCCACTATCAGCAAGTATCTAAATCTTGTTGAAGTTTGGGAAATCGTTCGAAGTCGTACGGTAGATGCCGAGGAACTTGCTGAGGAGCCTTGAGGACTCTTTCGAGTGCCTCATCACACAGGAGCTTATAGTTGGTCCTGTTCCTCTGATGGAGACTGAGTGTACTCACCAACGATCAACTATTTGCAGGATGTTCCGGAATAGCAACAATTTTCCCGTTGCCAATTTTCCCAGTGAAAGTTTTGTGCCGACAGAGAAAAAAATTGTGCGGCGCCGAGTAAATTTTGTGCGGAAAAAGGATGACAACCGTGAATTTACTCATTTGTGGGCGATGGATTGAGTTTTTTTGTGAAGCCGGCGCGACTACCACCCTGAAACAGAGTGCCTGATCAGAGCCGAGTTTACTGTATAACCTCAATTCTACTCAGCTGTGGCTTGTACTCACGTGCAAGAGAGGGTTTATACTCAAATCCTTGTGTTCAGCACAATGTGTTGTTACATGAACGGAACACACGGTATCTCACGAATTGTTCCTTACTGCTCATGAATTGTGTCCTTTTTCGAGCAACACCGCTGAGGTGCTCCGCATTAACATATCCTCGCTATGTCAGTCATACGCCCAATCTCTGTAGTGATAATGATGCCGCGGGCGTACCGTTGGCGTGAAGATAAACGTGTATCCGTTCGACTCTTCGGATTCCCATCAACAAACTCTTCAGGTTAAATCTTATTCGTGATGCCATCTGCTTACGGCTCCCTCTTGCTTGCCACTGTGATGGAAGCAGCCCTAGGAGTACTTGATGCCCCTCTGAAGATTACTGCTGACTATCCAGCGGGTTGTTATGGAGGTCCTGGTCCAGGGGAGGGAAGCAACATTACCGATATGCTAGCGCCTTCCTGCATTTACAGCATGGAGAGCAACACAACCGATGGGAGTTATAGAGAAGTTGCCGGGATCATACTCAACACTAACAGGCCTGGGCATTATGGCAGCATGTCAGTAAACATCACTGTGTCCAGCCCTACTAGAACCAGAGAGCCCGATATCTTAGTTGTAACGGATGGTTGGGCTCACCTGAGTGTCGGTGATGAAACCAGAGACTTCTGGTGGAACCCAGCTCCAGGCAAGAACTCCTACGGTCCAGATCGTGTATTTGTGT